CACAGTTCTGAGGGGTGGTCCTGGGGAGAGGAGGTAGTGGAGCTTGTTGTGGTGGTGGAGAAGAAAGGCCTCGCCCCTTATCATAGTACCATGGAAGAACTGAAAATTTACAAGTCCCTAGAAGTATCTCTGAAAACAGCTGTACAAACCCCTGAAGCTTGGGACAGTACATTCTCCACATTAGAAGCTTACCTTAATAAAGAGTTTAAAACTCAAGTAATTGCTTGGGATCATGAGCAAGCAGCGCAAAAAGAGTCAGACTATATTATCTTACTTTGGTGACAAACAAGATCAACACACACAACCAGAAGAAGATAAGAAAGTAAAAGCTCCTACATCCAAAACCTCCAAGAAAAAATATGAATCAGTCCCAGGCTTTGGAAGAGCTCAAAAGGGACTTTGAGAAGCAAGTAAGAGAAGAATAAATAGGAAAAGCTGGGAAGAGGAAATGAGAGTGATGCAAGAAAATCATGAAAAACAAGTCAACAGCTTGCTAAAGGAGACCCAAAAAATTACTGAAGAAAATAACACCTTAAAAAATAGCCTAACCCAAATGGCAAAAGAGCTCCAAAAAGCCAATGAGGAAAAGAATGCCCTAAAAAGCAAAATTGGTCAAACGGAAAAGGAAGTCCAAAAGATTACTGAAGAAAATACTTCCTTAAAAATTAGAATAGAGCAATTGGAAGCTAGTGACTTTATGAGAAATCAAGACATTGTAAAACAAATCCAAAAGAATGAGAAATTAGAAAACAATGTGAAATATCTCATTGGAAAAACAACTGACCTGGAAAATAGATTCAGAAGAGAGAATTTAAAAATTATTGGATTATCTGAAAGCCATGATCAAAAAAAAAGAGCCTAGACATCATCTTTCAAGAAATGATCAAGGAAAACTGCCCTGATATTTTAAAACCAGAGGGCAAAATAGAAATTGAAAAAATCCACCGATCTCCTCCTGAAAGCGATCCCCAAAGGAAAACTCCTAGGGATATTATAGCCAAATTCCAGAGTTCCCAGGTCAAGGAGAAAATATTATAAGCAGCCAGAAAGAAACAATTCAAGTGCTGTGGAAACACAATCAGGGTAACACAACATTTAGCAGCTTCTACATTAAGGGACTGCAGGGCATAGAATATAATATTCTGGAGGGCAAAGGAGATAGGATTACAGCCAAGAATCACCTACCCAGCAAAACTGAGTATAATTCTGCAGGGGAAAAAATGATCATTCAGTGAAATAGAGGACTTTCAAGTGTTCTTGATGAAAAGACCAGAGCTGAATAGAAAATTTGACTTTCCAATACAAGACTCAAGTGGAACATGAAGAGGTAAACAGGAAAGAGAAAATCATAAGAGACTCATTAAGGTTGAACTGTTTACATTCCTGCATGGAAAGATGATATTTATAACTCATGAGACCTTTGTCAGTATAAGTGGGGTTGGAGGGAAAAAAATTATATGTTTGTATAGATAGATAGATAGAGAGAGAGATAAGTAGGTAGGTAGGTAGGTAGGTAGGTAGGTAGGTAGATAAATAGAGGGCACAGGGTGAGTTGAAGTTGAAGAGGTCATATCTGGAGAATAAAATTAAGGGGTGAGAGAGGATTATACTAGGAGAAGGAGAAAGGGAGAGGTAGAATGAGGTAAAATATCTCACAAAAAAACAGAAAAGAAAATGCTCTTACAATAAGGGGAAACTGGCGAAGGTAAGAGGGAATGAGTAAATCTTATTCTCATAGGATTTGACTTAAGGAGGGAATAACATACACACTCAATTGGGTATGGAAATCTGTCTTATCCTACAGGAAAGTAGGAGGGGAAGGAGAAAAGAGAGTAGGGGGATGATAGAGAGGAGGGCAGAATGGGAAAGGGGGTAATCAGAAGCAAACACGTCTGAGGAGGGACAGGGTCAAAAGAAAGAATAGAATAAATGAAGGAGTGGGATAGGATTAAGGGAGATAGAGTTCATTTTTCACAGCATATCTACTATGGAAGTGTTTTGCATAACTGCACATGTATAGCCCATATTGAGTTGCTTGCCTTTTCAATGAGGGTGGGTGGGGAGGGAAGAAGGGGGAAAATTTGGAACCCAAAGTTTTAAAAACACATGTTTAAAAAAATGTTTTCACATGCAACTGGGAAATAATAAATACAGGAAATGGGGTACAGAAATCTATCCTGCCCTACAGGAAAACAGAAGGGGAAGGGGATAAGAGAAAGGGGAAAGAAATAGAAGGGAAGGCAGACTAGGGAAAGGGGTATTCAAAATTCCTGCCAGCTTGAGGTGGGGGGAGGGGCGAGATGGGGTGAAAATTTGAAACTCAAAATCTTGTGGAAGTAAATGTTGAAAACCAAAAATAAATAAATTTATTAATTTAAAAAAATAAAAAAGTGTGTCTTGTCCCTACCAAGTGTGCAGATTCTTAAAATCTGGCTCACTTCTACTGGCAACACAATAAACCTTATCTTTGACTGAAAAAAAAAAAGCATGAGTGGCTAGAATGAGTAAGCAACTATTATGAATAATGAACTTTTATACAAAAACCATGAGTTAAAATGAGCCAGCACACTAACTCCACTACATTTCTGACTGTAACAGCAAAAGGTCATACTTCTGACTCATATAATCATCTAAAGAAAACATATATAAGATGAAATTTAAGTTCCCAAAGATTATTTATATATTGTCCTCAGTTCATCTTTAAAGGAAAAAAAAAAATCACTCAATCTTTCCAATTATCATTCAAGATAATGGTAATGTAAATGTTTCCCTAATGAAAAACTTTTTTTTAATTGTGCTTAAAAGACAATTAAAAGCCAAAATAGCTTAGCCTGAGCCTATCTGTACTATAATGGAAAATTTCCTGACTCAGGAGTGGAGAGGTTCCAGCTTCAAATCCCACCATGGACACATATCCCATGTCATCTTGGGCAAAACATTAGCATCTCTGGGCCTCTGTTTTCTCATCTATAGAATGAATAGTTTAAAGTACCTGTCCTCTGAAGTCTTCCCCAGCTTTAAAACTAAGTTACTGTGTCAATGTTGCATTTATTCCCATGAGTTATTTTTTACTATCATAAATGTTATTCTTTAGGTAATATTTAAATAACAAAAGCATGCCATCTAAATATCTGAAATACAAGTAACAGCTCACATTTTCATAGGTTCTTATGGATTACAAAATTATTTCCTCACAGCAATCTTATGTTATAGTACAATTATTACTAGCTCTATGTTACAGATAAAGTAGCTGGAGTTCATGAAAGTTGAATGCCTCTTCAAGATCAATAACTCTATTCTTTCCAAGAATTAAGTCTTAAGCCCTAATTCTCTTGTCTCCAGATTTAGTGGGGTTTTTTTTCATTATGTAATAAAGGTACATGACTATAAAAATGACTGTATTTTCTAGATCATTTCATGATGTTGACTTTCAAAACAGCAAAAGACTTTGCCAGTGAGTATAAATAAATAAAGTAAGGATTTTGGCCAACTTTTCCTACAATGCAACTGGTAAACTGAGACACAATCTAACAATTTAAAATTGGCTAATTAATTTTCTCATAAGCCAAATAATAAAAAAAATTTTGATTGTGTTCCTGTTAAGCCTTTATTCTGAATGAATAAATGTAAAAGCATTTATTAATTGTTTATAGTATGTCAACCATTATGCTAAGCACTGGGGCTACATGTGCAACAGAAGACAGCTACTGCTCTCAGGTGTCTCACACTCTAATAAAATGAGATAAGAAATGTAGAAAGGTTGATCTGCAAGGCAAATGGAAAGACCTGGACATCTCAAAAATACAATGTCAAAGTATATAGCAAGTCCCATTAAATACTTAGGATGTGTCATCATAGTTGTCACTGATTCAATAACCCTTCTCAAGCAATTAGTGAGATAAGTTAAAACACCAAATGCCCAAGTTATTATTTCAAGGAAAACATAAAACCTATTTGACCTCTTAGAGTAAAAATAAAGTCCAAATGTTCATTAATTATGAAATATGGGCAATATTATACATCTGTTTCAGAACTTCATGTTTTCTAACTGGTGTTTGCAGTAAAAATGTTTAAGTTCATCCCCACTTGGGATATTTTTTCAACTGGACAAAATAATTCTAAAGGATAAGTTTTTTAAACTTATCTTAGGATCATTTTTTTAAAAATAAAGATAAAAAATGCAAAATTTTAATTCACTTGCTTTAAACAATCTCCCTCAAAATTAAAAAAAAAAAAGACAAACAAATAGTAGGGAAGGAGATTTTTTCCCCCTTAATGGAAGAGGAAAAACAAACAAACAAACAAACAAAAACTTTGATTAGTTACTAAAAGTCATTCAGGGCAACTATGTTCTTCAAAAATTCCTCAGTAGAAACACAAACAAATCTCAAGAGAGGAACTTTAAAGTGTGAGTTAGCTCCAGAGTTGAGAAATTTTCCCTTAGTGGAACACCATGGAAGCTCTAAATTGCTCTGTGTTCCCCATTGTAATGAATAGAATAAAAATAGTCAGATTTTGGCTTTAACTCAACTTTTTTTTCATATACAAATAATTTTAATTCATTTTTTGTGTTCTACCTGATATAGGTATGTAATAGTAGTAAACCACCAATCAATTAAAATGTTCTACTTTTCAATAAATTAAACCCAATAGTTTGGCAACAGCTTTCCTCTGAAATAGCTTGTCATTTCACATAATTGTGACAAACCTCTATCAAAGCATCACAAAGTAAAATTAGAAACCTGAATTAGAGTACCCTCCTCATAACAAATTAGTAAATAATGCAACCAGAAATAAGTCAGAAATAAGGCCTTCCTTAGCAGACCTTCCCCTCCAAACCCACAAACCCCCCCCCAAAAAATAGGTTGGCTTTGTTGTTGTTGTTCACTCCTCCTAATAGGAAGTCTCTTTTGGGAGTTTAAAATCATCACATGTACCTTAACATAGAAACTACTCATGCATCTTTTTACTTGTAGGAAAAGAAATATTGAAAGACTTACCCCATTTTTTGGGTAAGCAATCCATCCCAGATCCCCCATTACTGTGCGTGAGTCTAGCAAATTCACTAAAAAGGAAAGAAAGAAGAACATCAAAACAAGAATGGAAGAGAAGTCACTATTCTCATAGCTTCTGGAGCTCTGCCTAGTGTTTTAAGAACTGATATTAGATTAACCATTCATTATAAATAGAAGCATTTTTACAAGAAATTATTTCAGTGATACAAGATGTAAACTCATTTAAATAAATATTTTTTTAAAAAAATTAGTACATGCTGCAAAAATCAAAAAACAGTTCATTCTCAATGGTTATTTTTCCACATGACTTTTTTTTTAAAAAATCATGTTTTTTTTTTAATAGGAATCATGTTACAAGCCGAGACTATATTTCTGGGTTAAGCTGCAGCCATACGATTATGGCTCAACTCATTGCATTTTGCTCCAGAAAGCTGTTATGGAAACAATTAGCAAACAATTTACATTAAATAGCAATAAACTATTCCCAAGCCTATAACACTTTTTGTGGTATTACCCAAAATCTGTAGTTCAAATAGTACATGTAATTAAGAAATAAATCTACACACATTTAACCAAGCCAAGTAAAGTGATTGCTGCTCTCATGGCTCTTGCTACATTTAAAGGTCTGCTATATTTGGTGTTAGTCATCTCATTCATAGAGTTAGCTATGGTATAAAATACATCTAATAGATGAATATTCTGTTTCCAATTATGGTGGCAATAGGGAGAGAGAGAGAGAGAGAGAGAGAGATACAGATATATGCACACACTATAGAGAAAGAGAGAAGAAAAAAGGAAGGAAGGAAGGAAGGCTGTATAGATTTAATTGAACAACTTAATTTTAGGATTTTTTTTAACCCTGTAATGTCAAGGAGCAAGCTATTATACAACGAACTGTCCTGAGGTGTAATGATCTGCCTTCATAGATTATGGCATGGCCTAATTAATGATTACCAGATCAGTCAGCATGACTTGCCACTGAGAAAAGAGGAATTGAAATTCTATGAATAAGCAAAAGGAAGGGAGGCAACAAGCATTTATGTGGTGCCTGTTATTTGCCAGCTGCTGTGCTTTTTTTTTTAAATAAATTTTACAATTTAGGAAACTGAGACTAATATCGATAACGTGACTTGCCTATGATCACATGGCTAGTAAATGTCTGAGGCCATATTTGAATTTAGATCTTGCTAACTGCAGGTCTAGCACTCTATCCACTGTGCCACCAGAGAGGCTACATCTGTGACTTATTCTGTACCTGGCCCACTCTACTCACTCAAAGCTCCAAGTGTGAGATACAGCCTGGGGAAGTAGACAGATTAAAGGGTTTGGATCCTGGTAGGATTGGGTTTGAATTATGCCAGTGATACTTATGTGACCAGCTGTGTGACCTTGAGCAAATCACACAACTTCTCTGGGTCTCATTTTTTTCCTCTTTATAAAATGAAAAGAATTAGATTAAATGGCTTCTAAGCTCCCTTCAAACTCTAAATCTATGATCCTATGTATATATCTCATATCCTCAAGAATCACAGAGTCTACTAAACTATAGTATGCTTCAAAATTGTGTCCAAAAGGAAGAGCTATAATTTGTTGAAACTATGCCTATGAAAAATTCATTTGCAGTATAGGGAAGCAGAGGGGATAGTCCTATTGAAGGCATTGGGAAGAAGTAGGTCTGTATCCCTGTAAATCTCAGTCTCTATCCTCAAAGTATTTGGGAGGAAAGACAAGAGATATTACAGGACCAGAATGCAAGAGATTGTGGTCAGAGATGTTCATACATCACACTTCTAGAGATAATTAACATGACATATAGAGCTGACAGTCACTCTAGGGACAAAAGCTTACCCTCTGAGGGAGGAAATATGGCCTTCAGGGAGGAAAATATGTTTCTCCAGAAGTTAGTGCCTCAGAGTAAATCCCCTTCATTCTTACTAATTATTGCTCCACTAGGTGTTTTTTCCATCCTACTACTACTTTACTACATTCCCATGGCCTTAATATCTGAACTAACTTTAGGTCACTAATTTTAGGTTACTGGGGCAATTCTGTGTTTATTGCTCATGATATAACAGAAATACTATACAGGTGTTGAACTACAGGACAACCAGGAGTGTGTTGGCCCATCTTAATGATTTAATTGTATGTTCACAAAAGGCAAAGAAGTAGCTTGGGCATAGAAGAAGATGCCTTGGATTTGGAACCAAAAAGATTTCAGAACCTTCACTCTGACACATACCAAAAGGGTACCCATCTCTCCTCATCTGTCAAATTAGGATAAAAATATGTATACCAGTCACTTCGCATACTTGTTGTGATGAGGGCATATTGCACACCTTAAAGTATATTACAAATTTTAGTCATTATTATAGATTTTAGTTTTAGAATACTGGCTACCAGTTACCAATTTTCTTTCAGCCCATTAACAATACAAGAATACCATCTACTAAAGTTTAGATATGACCAGTTTACATTTAGCAGCAGTATGTCTGTAAATATCCGGTAGATAGGCCAAGGCCAATTAATCCATTGGTGCTATTATCTTGTGGCTCAGTTCCATCACTACCCACCCCAATTTCTCTAGAAATATAGAAATAAATAGAAATAAAGCCTAAATATCTGAGGCAACCCAATAAAGTATTGGGATTTCGTAGGAAAACTAACAAAGACATACATTATCTCTTCCAGGTCACTACAGGCCAAATTTATTCACTTAATTTAATATCTACGAAAATGATAGTATGACCTAGAAGTCACTATTCCTATGATGCTCTTTTTCACTTAACCCAGCTATTAAAAAAATAAGACACTTTTGAAAGAGATAATTTGCAATTGTGAAATTTAGGAATGTATATCCTAAATCCATTACTGAATTGATAAAAAGGAGGGTTATCTTATTTTTTTAACAATATGATAGTCACCAAGCATTCTCTATACTACAATTACAGTAATTAAATTGTTCAGAACTGTATACATGCTTGTTGTAAATTGCAATGGATGCACAATGAATATTGATCTTCATTGTACAACTTAATTAAAACTTGTCCTGGAGAAGCCACTAATGAATGTAATTAGAAGAAATTTTTGATACCACAGAGCTACTTTGGAAGACATTAATTAGGTAAAAGAAATTTTATGGAAAATGTTTTTAATTCATTGTCTTTCTTTTAGAGAAATTTATATCATTAAGCCCATAGATAACCTTTCAAGTTTACTTCTGTGTTTCATTGTCTAATCCTGATAAATATTGGCTATTCCACCCACATAAGGCTTCAGTTCATCTAGAAAAATTGCTCCTTCAGGATCAATGAATAGTTAGTCTGATTGTTAAAAGAATGCTTAGATCATTAAAGAGATTAGCAATAAAAATGTAATTCAGAAAATTGCTCATTGGAACCAGTAACTGAATAGTCAAATCAAATTTTATAACTGCCAACTCTACCCCCCCAACAAAACAAAACAAAAATGAAAAGTAAGTAGGTAGTGTTCCATAGCAATATTAGACCAAGTTATAACTTCAAAAAAAATCAACCTACATCTGTGATACTATTTGGAATTAAAGTATGAAAAAACTAAGCTGCCAAATCTTACTCTTCTGTACTTCTAGAATGATTGGAGGAGGAGATTAGCTGTCTGAATCAAGCAAGGTATATCCTCCTTATGTGTTTGACTACTCTCAACTCATCAATGTCTTCAAAAATTCTTTAGCAAATATCTACTTTGTATAAAGCATTGTAATATGTGTGAGAATTGAAAGCAGAGATATAACCCAGGCAGTAGATAGTTTAGAGTCCTTGGAGCCCCAAAGACTAGGATTAGATCTTGCGTGTGATGCTTGCCAGGTGCATGAACTTGTGCAAGTCATTTAAACTTTCTAGATCTCACTTGTCTCATATATAGAATGAAGTGAATTATGTTAGATGTCCTCTAAGATTCCTTCTAGCTCTAAATCTATTATCCCATGAACACAGGTCAGGCTGTCAAGGAGCTTAAAATCTATTAAATAGGAATTGACTACATTAACCAATCCATATGTTAAAATGTAAGTATACCCTGGCAGCCTTAATCCTATCTCTTACAGAAAACTTAGTGTGAATGATTTTTACTCAAATGTGATTTTATTTTTTATGGAAATTCATCATGGAGAAATAACCTTTACTGTTGGGGATAGCCTGAGTATTGTTCGCAACAAAGTCTTGGTGTCCTGAGTCCCTGAGTGGTTAAATGACTTATCCATTCAGCTAGTATGTGTCTGAAGCAGGACTTCCACTGAGACTTGCTTCATTCAAAGGCCAGATCCTATATGTAATACTACAGTCTCTTTTAGTATGAATTGTGCATATTAATTATGTTCTTTTCCATACTCAGGTATTTTTTGAATAGGGAAAGAGTGAGAGCTGATTTTGGACCATGGGCTTCTTTGGTTGGCATGATTTCTGAGTGGGATTCTGTAGTAGGAGACTTTAGACAGCTGAATTGCAATACAAAAGCAGCCAGGAAAAGAAATAGGAAGACATGATAAAGGGGTACAGAAAGACAATGCGCCAGTGATAGAGCTTCTCTATCTTGTAATGTCATATATGTCCTTGTTGTATTAACTAACCTAGGTGTCATCTGTAGGCTGCTGGTGTGTGGTATCATCTGTAGCATAATAACACATAATTCTACACTGCTTTTAGATTGGCAAAACATTTATGTACATCTTCTCATTTGGAATTCACAACAAATCTTTAAGGTAGAAAGCAAAAGTTAATTATGCCAAATTTTCCAGATACAGAAAATGAGGATCAGAGGGGTTGTAAGTTGTCCATAATCATAGAGATAATAAATGTTGGAGATGCATTTGAACCCAGGTCTCTCTGACTTCAAGTCCAGAACTTTATCTACTATATGAAACTTACTGAAATATTATTGCGGTAAGAAAATGTCCATTGATGCAATTGATAAGTATTTGTTTTAAGGACAAAGAAATGAAATCATGATTATTATTCTGCTCCTTAATGAGCAATATAACTCTACTGGATCTCTCAAGAATGCGTGGTCCAGCAAA